CGCTGTCAGATTACCTTGACTTATCTTACCAAAGAATATTTAGTTCTCAGTTTTATGTAATCCAAAATAGAAACTTTGATTTAGGACTTCTCTTTGTTATTCTCTTTGCAGTATGCCACATTCATGGTCATTTTTCTGCTGTTTTGAAACGTCTTTATTCCAGCAACAAGTTTTGATTATTGCTTCACTTTTTCTCAATTTGTTTTTCAGATTCAAGCTGGGATTAGAGAGGTGCTATCGCACTGTAAATTCCCTTCCCAGTGAGTGTTCTAAAAAGCTACCTCTACTGCCAGTCAGTGCGGACCATCCAATAATGAAGTTATCACAACACAAATTGTACATTCATTTTTCCAGACATCCCAACTACTATCTGGTAAGTCACTTTATAATATCCAGATGTTTGCTTGAGAACTGTGTCACCATGTACTATAAACAGTTAAAATTTTGCCACTGGAAGTTTCCGCCATTTGGTGTTTTAAGAGTGTTCATAGGAAGAAATGTCATGAAGGTCAGTGTGAGTTCCTGTCTTAAGGAGCCTAGTGTAATTTCATGACTTTCTCTGATTTGTGAAAGTAATACAAAATAAAAATGATTTACAGTCTTTAATCATTTCTATATTTTTTTCTGCCAAAAGAAAAAAAAAACTTTGCGCATTTTGATATTGTTTTTCTTTTCTGTAAATTTGTCATTGTTTTGGAATTAAATGTACATAATTTTCTTTCCATTGGCTACAGGATTTTCCTGACCATTTTTGAAAAAAATAAACAACAAAATTTTTTTTTTTGTAAAAGATAACAATAATTTGTTGATTGTCCTATCGGTATATCTCACTTTGGCAGACATTTTGAATTTTAGGACTCATAATTTAAAAATGAATTCTTGGATCTCAATATTATTTATTCAAATAGAACTGTCATAGTATCGGTATAAAATAACATATTGTAAAATTAAATTTGTTTCAAGCAAATTTTACCAAATACTAGCTTCATTCTCTCATTCAATTAAAACTACAAATTCATCTTTGATTGTCTTTGAACTTGTAGATTATAGAGTTGTATCAAAACATTGGTCATGCCGAGATAAACCACAGATATCATTTATTACAAGTGAAACCGAGCAGCTATCAAGATGGCGGCAACACTACCACTATGGACACTGACAATATAGCAGAGCATTATCTACAACCGATCAGTCTAGTACCGATCAACCCACATAGTGCAACACGTGGACCAGAAACATACCTACACGGTTAGTTGTAAAGAAAAGGAATGATAGGACATTTGGTTGAGATTTTATACATGCTGTTTAAGTCAGTTTGTTGGCAGAAATGTAATACAATGTTATTTTTGTTTTGAAGAAAAATCTTCAATTCAATTCTTAAGATTTTGCAGGTCAATCTGACATTTTTGTGTCACACATATGTTATGTTCCTCAATAATGAGGATGCTATATTTATTATCTTCTACAGCATAGCTGACTCAACAGAAACTGGTCACATCTAATGTTAATTTTCTCCCAAAATTTCAGAAAATATAATTCTTTTCTCTCAGTTATTTGCTCCAAATTCATCATTCTGTTTCCTTCTTGTTCACAGATGACATTTTAACTCTTAGTCAAAAAAGAAAGGTAAGTTTTTTTTAACGAAGACAGTTTAGAAAAAATTGCATGCATAACACAGACTGTAAACTCACAGTAAAAATTACAAGTGAAGTTCAGGGCTAAATTCATGTACATAATTTACAAGATACTATTTCTCAGTACAGGCCAACGTGTGAAAGTATTCAGTGTAATTTTAAAAAGATTAAAAATAAAATACATTTTCTGAAAAAAAAATAATACCATAGAACCATTTGTTCATTTCGTGATGATATCTTTAATTCTCTAATTAAGATAAATATTTTTGTCATAGTTGATATTATACATATAGATACTACAGCCTAGGTGAACCTTTCTTAGATTTGTTCATTTTGTGATATTATGCTTTGTTTACATTGCTGCACCTGAGCGGATGAATACATTGTTTTTTGTTTCAGTTACATTTACTTGGTATCCGGGAACTGTCACCTAAGCGTAGAAAACCATCAGAGGATATCCCATACTTCCTACCAGAGCTAGCTCATATCATAGCTACATGTGATACAAGGATTCCATTTATTGGACTCTGTGATGAGGTAATGGTAGATACTCACTACACCTGCCTAGTGACAATATGTTTCTGCAATATCAAAATTATGTTTATGGCGAAAATTGACCTTTGGTTTTGACATTAGTAAAATTCATTAAAAAATAATAATGAGAACTATTTTTATTTTTATAGTTATCAATGACTGGTATAGCCCACCAAGGAGTGCAAGTTGAAGGAGAAGGACTGGGTCTTGTAGTCAGAATTGTCAGGTAAGGCATGGGAAATAGTAATCAGATAGAAGGAGAAGGACTGGGTCTTGTAGTCAGAATTGTCAGGTAAGGCATGGGAAATAGTAATCAGATAGAAGGAGTAGGACTGGGTCTTGTAGTCATAATTGTCAGGTAAGGCATGGGGAATACTAATCAGGTAGGAGGAGTAGGACTGGTGGGTCTTATAGTCAGAACTGTCAGGTAAGTCAGTGGGATTACTAATCAGAAGATCCTTGACTTTTAATATACTTCATGCAGACAGTACCAATTAATTATTTCTTTACTGTTATTCTCTTTGCAGTATGCCTCTTGTTGACGGTGTGTCCAGTGAGGTCAATGATTTACTACTGAGGACGTTTGTAGACTGTTCAATACGACTTCAGGGCAAAGCTAATAGGACCTGGCTAGTTGACGTAAGTACCATTGAAGACCACCTTGTCTTCCATAACTTCCTATGTTTTGGGAATTTAATTTAAATATTTAGTGCGTAACATGTTCTATTGTGGAATCATTTAGTGATTCTATTTTATAGTTCATGTGCGTGTTCTTATGTTCTACCTAGACGTTTAAACATTTACTTCTATGCTATCGATGATGAGCCATTGCTCGAAACGTATAGCTATTTTTAATAGTTACTTAGGACTACGATTACCAAATATTATCTACTATATATCACATTGATATGTTTTTCATTTAAATGGACACAGCTTATGTTTAGTGACTGTCCAGTATACAGTACCAATCATCGTGAACAAAGTGATATCAAACACACTTATTTACAATACGAGATCTCACCGGGTCATGGTTACACGCCATTCATACATCAGTTTCTGCTAGACTGGCAAGCGATTGGTCATCTCTATACACTGGTGCTAGACTTATCAGCTGTTATCCAAGGTAAGGTACATCATTAATATACATCATTAACCAAAAACAAAAGAATTTTTCATTCCATAAAAAGCTATATCAGCACTCATATCTAAGTTAACAAAATATCTAAGTTTGAAAATGATTGTATAAAATGGTGTTTGGCAAGGTGAAAAATATTGCTGTTTGCATCACATATGCTAAGATGAATGCAATCTGGTGTTAATGTTTGCTTTCTCAAATCAATACTACCGGTAATGTATGATTTCATAAATATTCTCTATCGTACACACTGATTGCCATTATTCATAGTATGCAAGGTTATACTGTAAAATACTGTATTTTCGCTATTTTCGCTGAAGGAAAAATTCAGTGAAAATAAAATCCAGTGAATATGCACTTTTTCCTATATTTTACATTCAACTTGTCAAAAATCAGTGAAAATAAATTCCATAGAAAACACTCAAAAATTCTTTTCAGCGAAAATTAATTCCAACTAAAATAAAATATTGTACAGTAAATTAACTTGTGTTTTCATTGTTAATTAACAGACTACAGTTCTGGATTCATCAACATTGTGGAGGTTAAGTCATACACTTATAGGAAGTTGACGCTAGCTTATGGCAAAGACAAAACTAGCACTGTAAGTACAGAGTGACTGCTGCTAACTTTTGATATGACTATTAAAGACCAGCATCTATCTATGTGTCTGAGATGGTGGGTGTGTGTTTGCGCACATGGTTCTGATCTTGTCTGGTTGGGTCAGGTAAGGTGCGGCCAGGTCAAGCCACTCTTGTATCTCAGCTGGTTAGTATGTGTCACATTGAGTCAGCTCAGGTGCACTACGTTATAGGTCAATGCAGTGTGTTTTCGCTTGTTGGGGTAACATTAGGTTGGATTGGGTTGGGTTGGGTTGGGTTGGGTTGGGTTGGACTGGACTGGACTGGGCTGGGCTGGGCTGGGCTGGGCTGGGCTGGGCTGGGCTGGGTAAGGTAAGCTCAGGCACAATCACACTACATTATAGGTCAATGCAGTGTGTTTTTGGCTTGTTGAGGTCACATCAGGTTGGATTAGAGTGGGTTGGGTTGGGTTGGGCAAGGTAAGCTCAGGCACAATCACAATCACACTACATTATAGATCAATGCAGTGTGTTTTGGCTTGTTGAGGTCACATTGGATTGGGCTGGGTAAGGTAAGCTCAGGCACAATCACACTAGATTATAGGTCAGTGCAGTGTGTTTTGGTTTATTGAGGTCACATCATGTTGGATTGGATTGGGTTGGGTTGGGTTGGGTTTGGGGTGGATTAGGTAA